ACCAAAAAAGTCCGATTAAGTTTAGGCTGCTGTCACGCGACATCACGTGATCAACCTTTACACCTGTTAGAGGGGAGAAAAAGAATAAATTAAAAACACCCAACAATATAATGATGTTGTTGTTAATTAATTATCTTATTAGTTGCTGATGAAGTAGACTGATCAGTTCATAATTGGAGCATTTTAATTTGTATATAATATTTAGATTTGATATGTTGTGTTAGCTAGGATATGATCCTCATTGATACACAATTTATTTTGTGGGATACCCTATTTTAGAATTCTATAATTCCTTTTTTTTTTTTTCCATAATATAGATTTTTCTTTAATTAGAAGAAAGATAGACCCCGAAAAGAAATTAAAGTTAATAATCTCTAGTGTGATGACTGAATCTTGGTTGTTAAACTTTTTTTTTTTTTTGAGTGATGAGAAAAATCTCTCATTACTATTTATTGGTATGCACTGGCTAAACTCCACTTTATGACCTTAGCCAGCAAATGATCACAGTGAGGTAAATCAGTTTAAGTTGTACATAGTTAACCGACTCAAACTAAGGAGTCCACTCCAGTTGGTTTTTGTCTATACCTGCACATTATTCATAATTTACAAAATTCATTGTTTATTAAATAAATATTCATTATATTTGCATATAATATTCACCAAACTTGTGAGTGAAGATGCATGTACACTTTGCAATTTGAAAATTGGAGGTTTCAATATGTGGTTAGTTGGTCTCATGCAAATCAACCCAAATGAATGATTTTGCTGGTCTCCCCACACCAACTCCATTAACAAAACATGAAATTTTCTGCACACTGTACTGTTTAATTAATATTAAATTATTCAACTAATTAATAAAGTTAGTGGAATTTCTCTTCTCTACTACATACTATGAGTGCCATCTGACAACACACTCTAATTTTAATTAAAAAATTAAACTTTTTTGAGTTTTTCTTTCTAAAATATATTTCTTTTAGGGAAAATTAGTACAGTGTCATAGATTTGGACCTGCCTGCAGGGATCAAATAATTTTGGTTCTTAAATGTAATGTAAACAACATACACATGATCTAGATCTGGATCCAATTCTCAGTTTTTGTACCTCAAAAATGGCTTTCAATTGGATCTGTAATCTATTCATAATTCTCTCTTGTATCTATTGTGTGAATACTGAAATCAAAGTAGAGTATGACAGCAAATCTTGGCATTATTTAGTTCACTTGCTGGCTAGCTTCTAAGTTTTTTGGTTAATATCCTTTGGTTTTCAAGTATAGTAATTATTGTTTTTACCTAGAAAATATGGTGGTTTTAGTCCGTTAATTATATTCATATTGTAAACGCTGTCTATGAATTATTACAATATACAGAATTTGTTATTTAATTATGTGTAAAATAACAGTTCTAATCCAATACTAACAAATTTTGTTAATATTAATAATGTGTTTTAAATTTTCAAATTATTGAACGACATTTTAGTCATTATTATTTATATCATTTTGTATTAATTAACCGCTGATGTTGGCAACCCTATTTTCGCCATTGAAGTGTAGCTAAAATTTTAAAGTTGTTTGATTTTCAAGTTCACTGAACATTATTGGTTGAAATAAATATTATGAATTAATTACTTTGTTGTTCCCATGTCAATCAATATGTTGGAGTGCGTATTCAATTTATAAATTTAGAAAGATAAATTTATTTTCTAACCATCAAATTGACATTTAACCTTAAAACCTCAAACAAGTAGATACATGTTTATAGATTTTAGAAAACTAACAATTCTTGATTACAAATGAAGATAATCGGTATATTGAAGATTTAGGTGAGAAAATTTAATGAAATGAGCAATATGTCATTCAATAATTTGAAAATTCAAAGTGCATTAATTTTAACAAAATTTGTTAGTGGTGAATTAAAACTATTACTTTACACATAATTAAATAGACAAATTTATATGTGTAATAATTCATAGATTGTGTCTACAATATAAGTATAATTAAAAGACTAAAATCGTTATTTTTCCTTTTACCTATTCACATCAATAATATATATATATGATATGATTTATTCATCTTTTTTTTTTTTTCTGAAAAATATGATTCATCCATCTTCATAGATCAACAGTTGAGAATTATTGAGTAGTTAGAGTCTTAGGCTTGTTAGAATATTTCTACTTTAGTTACCTATCTTTGGGTTTCTCTATGTATATAATGTATTGTAAATCATTCTCTAAATATATTATATTGGAATAATGGAATACAGTATCTTGTTCATTCATCTGGTATCAGCCTAATCTACTCGATCTTATGGCCAACCTTCAAGACCAACCTCCCCCACCTGCTCATAACGATGCGCCAATGGATTCCTCAGGCCGGTCGATCACCGCAGTTACGGTACCTGAACCACGTTCTCAGAATATGCTACATCAAGCTCATCATTATGTTTCTATCAAGCTGACTGCCACAAATTACTTTTTTGGAGATCGCAGCTTGTGCCTTTTCTACGAGGGCAGAACCTTTATGGAGCTGGAAAGTAAGGGAAAAATAGTGGTGTTCATTTTATAAATAATGCAAACTTAAAAGTTTATAGTAATTATAAATTTGACAAATATTATTTGGAAAATATCAATAATTAGTAGGTTTGTTTAGTAAATAATGTGAAGTAAAAATGTTACAATGATAAATTATGGATGGAATAAATTACTTACATCTACTCAATAGTTAACACAAATCTATTGTTGGTCTATTAAAACCAAAAGTTAAACACATGAGATATTAAAGAAGTAATATAGTAAAAATATAAGTTAGTATCAATTCTAGTTCACCGGTTAGAGTCGGGATGCATTGGAAATTGCTGCATGCGTTATGGTAGTAGAGCACCAAATCACATTAGCAACATACCAACCCATTTCATTTATGCAGACAAAGGTGAAAATATCATCATAGCCAAGAAATACACAAGTTAATAACTTAATAAACAAATTAAGCAGTAATAAAAGAGATGAAGGGTAGGGAGGATAGGTCGAATAAATGTCAATCTTTTTTTTTTTTTTTCATTGAATTTGGATATCAAATCCGTGTCCCAAATTGAATTTTCGGGTCGATCGAGTAGGATGAGTCCTGCACAACCCTAGGGTCACGTTGGTGACTACACTAAATCAATTTTACAATTGGACTAGCCAACCCATGTATATTCCATCAGTTTAATATCCAACTATTACAAACCATAAAATTTAAAATTATAATTTGAACATGATGATTGTGTTAATTTGCCTACATTTGTTATGTTTCAGTATGATTTTTGTACACATTCAACTTTATATACTGTAAACGGGTATGTCGGCATGATGGGGCTTCATCATACAATCTGGACTATGATTTATTTCCAAACAATCCACATTTTATTATGAAAAAAAAAAAAGAAAGGGAAAAGTTGGTTGGCTTCATTTTCTTTCCTTATCTCCCTCTTCAAGTACTAGGTGGCAAAATGGATGAAACATCAATTCATTGAGTAATTACAAAATTTATCACAGCACCAATTGGCTGAAAATGATGGCACTATACGGCTAGAGTTCAAGTGATATAACATAGCTAGCTAGCTAGAACTAGCCTCCTATACAATTTAACTAATTAATCAGTGTAAGATTTTAATTTACAGGCTATAAAGCTCACATGTGAATTGAAGTGGTGATTAAAAAAAGTTCATAAAAAAAATACTCAAGCTAATTAAAGAAATCACACATTAGGCTAGTGTGTCATCTCTTCACTTTTTTCTTAAATTACTTTAATTTTTGTTCGATGCAACAAATATGATTATTATGATCTATTCCTGGATGTGTGCGTTGAGTCGGGTCTTGCTCGTTCAGTTCTATTGTAATTGAATACATAGATTCAGTAATACTAACTGTGAGTTGAGTTGTCATTTCTGAGAAGGTCTCGGGTAGTTGAGTGGAGTGACATCCTCCCCACCCCCTTTAAGCAATAAATGCACCTTATTGTATAGGCGGGGTTTGGGACACATGCCGAGAATCCAGCATGTTCTACACGTGGAGCATGCATGTTTACTAATAAGAGGGGTGATGCCAAGTGTTCCAACATAGAAAATGGTGATGGGACATGATTGGACAATACATCAGGCGGGCGTTGCGCACCGTGCATTGGAAGTGCGGATATTTATTATTCCGGTCTCAAAAGCTATCTTTTTTGTTATATGTGACCGCATGATTGGGAAAAGCACTAGAGGCCTACCGGGGTGTTCGGCTTAGACCAGTCCTGGTAGGTCATGGTCAATCTATTTAATGTAGTCTGATAAGGGCGTATGAGCTCTATCAATGATCAAGGGTTTGACGTATGTGGTGGCTCCACCTTCTTCTCTTTTACGACTGTTGACTAAGAATCAAATCGCTAGAATTTTCTCTAGCGAAGATGTTTATTGGTTGCTTACTGATAATTAGGTTTGACATTTGCCGGTATTCCCTTCCCTCTAATAATATAATACTAATAATAATAATTGTAGTACCATGGATATATACCCATAGAAGGGAGAATTGCATTATCAATGATTGAGTTAAGGTATTATTAGTGAATTTGGTAAAGTGTACAAGTACATAAAATTCAAGTTATTTTCCTACCTATTCATCAAATGTAGTAAGAACAGAGAGAGTTCAAAGTAAATATTTTAATGAGATTTGGAACTCATAAACCTCATCATCTCCACTATAAAGAAGATTAAAAAACATTTGTGCCCATCAACATTTAGCCCGGTATACTAAACCATTAAGTCACCATATACATCTTTCCGAATGCTCTTTTTGGTCGGGGTGCAGAGGGACCCTTAGGTTGGAGACGTAGTCCCTGTCTGCTAAATCATTGGGTCACCATAATTTATATCTTTTCGAATGTTTTGTCGAATATGAAGACCTTTGAGGTTGGCGATTCAAAGATTAACATGTAAAAAAAATTAAAAAAAAAATCCACTCTTGTGTGTCTGCACAACACCTCATAGCCTAGCTGTTCTTGGATCCGGAGATTCTGGTGCAGCTCTCAATTTAAAAACCATTTAGCCCACAAAACATGATTTTGTTTTCCTCTTCCTCTTCCCCTTCCTTATCCCCAGGCTCCAACCTCAAGAACACCAAAAACTAAAACAACAATTTCCCTTCTCTCTCTCTCTCTTGGAGTTTGTAGCAAAAACTATACAGTATACACCACTCCACTCCCACCATTTTAATTTGCTGTAATGCCTGTTTTTCCATGGACCCTTTTCCTTTTTCTTGTTGTTCTGTTCCACCGCTCCGCCGCCGTCAACCGCCAGGGGGAGGCGCTGCTGGAGTGGAAGAGGAGCATGAAGGGGGCGGTGGAGGCTCTGGAGAATTGGAACTCCGGCGATGCGAGTCCCTGTGGGTGGTTCGGCGTCACATGCAACTTTGAAATGGAAGTGGTGGGGTTGGAATTAAGGTATGTTGATCTCCACGGCGTTGTCCCTTCCGATTTCTCGTCGTTGAAATCTCTGACCAAGCTGGTTTTAACCGGGACGAATCTCACCGGCGCCGTCCCGGAGGAGATTGGAGTTCTTCAGGGGTTGAAGCACTTGGACCTTAGCGACAATGCACTTACCGGCGAAATCCCGCCGCCGATTTGTCACCTGCCGGAGCTGGAACAACTTTATTTGAATTCCAACCGGTTAACCGGCTCCATTCCGGCGGAAATCGGAAATCTCACCAACTTAGTGTGGCTTATCTTATACGATAACCAGCTGAGTGGCCCAATTCCGTGGAGTATCGGAGCCCTGAAGAAGCTGGAGGTGATTCGGGCCGGCGGCAACAAGAATCTCGACGGCCCGCTGCCGCCGGAAATCGGGAACTGTACTAATTTGTCCATGATCGGGCTTGCCGAAACAAGCATGTCGGGCTTTCTCCCTTCTTCTCTCGGGCATTTGAAGAACCTTGAGACGATTGCGATTTACACCTCTCTTCTCTCCGGGGAAATCCCACCGGAGCTCGGCGACTGCGATTCTCTACGGGATATCTATCTCTACGAGAATTCCCTCACCGGCTCCATCCCGGCCTCGCTAGGGAACCTGAAAAACCTCCAGAACCTTCTTCTATGGCAGAACAATCTGGTCGGTACTATCCCTTCCGAGCTCGGAAACTGCCGGGAACTCCAGGTCATCGACATTTCGATGAATTCGTTAACCGGCGGTGTACCGGAGAGTTTCGGGAATCTGAGTGTGCTCCAGGAGCTCCAGCTGAGCCAGAATCAGATATCGGGTCGGATCCCAACCAATCTAGGGAACTGTACCGCCCTCACTCATATCGAGCTCGATAACAATCAAATCACAGGGTCCATACCCGAAGAATTCGGGAATCTGTTGAATCTGACTTTGCTGTTTCTATGGCAGAACCGCCTCGAAGGCGAGATTCCGGCCGCCATTTCTTCCTGCCGGAGCCTACAGGCGGTTGACTTATCGCAGAACGCGTTGACCGGTTCCATTCCTAAAGGTGTTTTCAATCTCCAGGAGCTCAACAAGTTGCTTTTGCTGTCCAATAATTTATCCGGAGCCCTACCGCCGGAAATCGGGAACTGTTCTTCGCTTATTCGGTTCCGGGCTAATGATAACCAGCTGACCGGGTCTATACCGCCGGAGATTGGGAAACTGAAGAATTTGAATTTCTTAGACCTCGGCTCGAATCGGCTTACCGGAGTTATTCCACCTGAGATTTCTGGCTGCCGGAATCTGACGTTTCTCGACCTGCATTCCAATTCAATTTCCGGTACAATGCCAGAGAATCTGAACCAGATTGTTTATCTCCAGTTCGTTGATTTTTCGGATAATTTGATTGAAGGTACGTTGAGTCCGAGCCTTGGATCACTGACTGCACTCACCAAACTCGTTTTAGGAAAAAACCGGTTTTCTGGCTCGATTCCGAGTCAACTCGGTTCGTGTTTGAAGCTACAATTGATTGATTTGAGTAGCAACCGGCTTTCCGGTAACATTCCAGCGGGTTTAGGTAAGATTCCGGCGCTGGAAATCACGTTAAATCTGAGTTTGAATCAACTTTCCGGCGCGATTCCGGAGGATTTTACTGCGTTGGATAAGCTCGGAGTATTGGACCTCTCTCACAATCAGCTCACAGGGGACCTCCATTTTCTCGCCGATCTCCAGAATCTCGTCGTGCTCAATGTATCGCACAATAATTTCTCCGGCCACGTGCCCGACACGCCGTTCTTCACCAAGCTTCCCCTGAGCGTCCTGGCCGGGAACCCGGAGCTGTGCCTTTCCGGCAAAGAGTGCTCCGGCGACCAAAGCGGCGGCGGCGTAAGGCGGAGCAAGGCGGCCAGGGTGGCCATGATCGTGTTGTTATGCACGGCCTGTGCGCTCCTCGTGGCGGCTCTGTACATTATCCTTGCCGGCAAGATTCACGGCCGCGGGGCCCACGGATTCAATCTCAACAGCGATGACGACGTGGAGCTTGGCCCACCTTGGGAGGTCACCGTGTACCAAAAGCTCGACCTGTCAATAGTTGACGTGGCAAAATCCTTGACACCTGGCAACATCGTCGGTCGAGGCCGGACGGGTATCGTGTACAAGGTCAACATTCCGGCCGGGTTAGCCATCGCTGTAAAAAGATTCCGAGCATCGGAAAAGCATTCCGCCTCGGCATTCTCATCGGAAATCGCTACACTAGCCCGAATCCGTCATCGGAACATCGTAAGATTACTGGGATGGGCTGCTAACAGGAAAACCAAGCTACTATTCTACGACTACTTGTCTTGTGGTACATTAGGCACATTGTTACACGAAGGTAATATTAATTAGCTTAATGTATTTGTAACTATATATCAAATATTGTTTTACCTTCTTAATCACTCTGATCTCAATTCTTTTATCATGACAGGTAACGTCGGAGGGCCAATAATCGAGTGGGAAACGCGTTTCAAGATTGCACTAGGTGTGGCGGAGGGCTTAGCTTATCTGCACCACGATTGCGTGCCGCCGATCCTTCACCGTGACGTTAAGGTTCATAATATTTTGTTAGGAGACCGATACGAGCCATGCTTGGCAGATTTTGGACTAGCTAGACTTGTTGAGGACCAAAACGTTGCATTTTCTGCAAATCCTCAATTTGCTGGTTCATATGGCTACATGGCTCCAGGTATAATAATAATTCATCACCTCTTTCTTATTATATCCACTTTTTAGTACAATCTAAAAATAGAGAAAATAGGATAATTATATCAATTACCACACTATTATTCTTTTTAGTTACACCTTTAAAAGGTGAAAAGTATTTGTGAGAGTGAAAGAATGATTAAATTGGGAAGTGGAAAGTACGGGAAGTGGATACGAAAATGTCATGTAATATATAATGATAAGTTAGAATGAAGATATATATTATATATAGTATGGTATGTAGTAGAGAGTAGAGAGTTGCATGGGGCACGTGAAGGCACGTGATGGGCTTTCAAGTGTTTGTTAAAAGGGTTTTGTCTTGGCATGAGTTTGGCAGGGCCATAGTGCTGGTTTCCAATCTTTTGCTTGGAAGGCATGACAGATACTTGGCATGGGGAATGCCCAAACACCCCAATCACCTAACATATTAGTGGTCACACATTTCCACACCCTACCACTCTTTCATCAACCCATCCCCCTCTACCTTGGCCTTTCTTCTATGTCATCTTATCATTTGTCATATTATTAATTCCCCATCCAGACCATGAGGTGTGTTGAGCAAGTCTTAACACTAGAAGGCACTTTTAAGTTTTAATTAAGGGGCAAAGTGCTGACCAGAAGAGGAGGTTTAAACTCCCGACCCCTTTTAAAGGATAATAGTGCACGGTCACTCACGCCAATAAAGTTGGTTTAAGTTATAGTCCTTTTAAATATGAGTTAATACCTATTTTGATTCCGACTCTAGTAATTTTTTCAGTTTAATTCTAAATGACTTTTTGTGCTTAATTAGGTCTTGAATTTATTTTATTTTTTTTAAAAGGTCCTGAATTTTGACAGTTTTACCTAAATGAGTCATCTATTAGGATAACTTGGTAATTTCTCCTCCATTAATACTCAATACTATAGTAATTTTGCTCAATTTACTCATCGACTATAGTTGTTTTTTTAGTCAATGATTCTAACAGTCGATAGATTAACCGAGACTGAGGATTGCATTAGTTAAAACTATCAAAATTCAAAATCCAATTAAATATAAAAAGTCATTTAGTACTTAATTGAGAGGATATTAAGTCTTATATAAATAATATATTTGAATTCAAATATGATCTCATCACCCCCATAGAAGAATTATGCACATACACTATCTCCAAATTGCACTTAATAATTTAAGTGCATATATGGCCCACAATATGATGACAAGAAGTTTGAACTAAATTTGAATAATATAATTTTGCATATGATAACTACCAAATTATATAACTTTGTTGTTACAATTGGACGTTGCAGAGTATGGTTGCATGCTAAGGATCACGGAAAAAGTTGACGTCTATAGCTTCGGAGTAGTCCTGTTAGAGATCATAACGGGGAAGAAGCCGGTGGACCCATCATTCCCGGACGGGCAACATGTGATCCAATGGGTCCGAGATCATCTCAAGTGCAAGAAAGACCCGGTGGATATTATTGACCCGAAATTACAAGGCCACCCGGATACCCAGATCCAGGAAATGCTTCAAGCCCTAGGAATATCACTGTTGTGTACCAGTAACCGCGCCGAAGATCGGCCGACGATGAAAGATGTGGCTGCGCTGTTGAAGGAGATCCGGCACGAGCACTACGCCGGCGCCGGCGGGGAGGGTCATAAGCCGGAAAAGACGCCGGACGGGCAGTCCTACTCGTCGTCGACGTCGCAGTTGGTGAACTTTCAAGGATCGTCTAATTGCTCTCTGGCTTACATTTCTTCATCTGCAAGCTATTCCCCTGGGAATTGAAGTGATAATAAGTTTGGGATCTAAAAGTATTAATTATTAGGTAGGGATACATAGTGGGAGGTTAAGATTAAGATTAAGATTAGCATTGTAAAGAAGTAGGAGAAATTTTAGACAGTTTAATTTGATGGGAAACAAAAATAGAAGAAATTGCTGTTAGTGAATGTGTATAGCAATTTGCAAATTAAAGGCCATAGCGATATTATATTCTTAGTTGGTGGCGATATTATATTCTTAGTTGGTGGATAAGATAAGGCTTCTTTTCGTTTAGTATTCACTATTTTCTCAAATCCTCATTATTTGCTTTAATACCAAATCAAAATTTTATAGGTTTCATAAAATTCAATTAATATCAATCTCACTCATGAATATAGTTAGATCATGGTTGATGAAGGGCCAAATCCAACAATTGGTAGTTAGAAAAATTGTTAGGCAGAAGCAGATAAAGAGTTAATCTAACACCATGTCTCTCGAAAATATGGCGATTCATAAAGAAATAAAATTGTGACTTTACTGTGAACTATAACTTTTGACGTAATGGTAAACGTTTAATCCTAATAAGTAGTATCAGAGTCATGTCACGGAGCATGCACATACATATGTATTAGGCTGAAATGTCATTGTGTAATACTCTATATATGGATAAATATATATATATTCTAACAGCTTAAACTTTAAACTCTCCATCCCAAAATATTTGACATCTTACAATACCCACCTTATGGCTAATCTTGCTGCATGCCACTCGGTTAATATGAAGTTTTATATGGAGTATTATGTGACACTAATCACCAAAATGTCCCTTCACCCAACCACCCTACTACCTCAAAAAAAACGAAAAAGTTGTCCACTTGTCAAGACAGGGATGGAAAAGTAAAAGCAAAAGTAGCATGAATTGATTTTGACTATCATGTCAATAGTAATTTCCCACAAGAAGTCCAAAGCAATATATATAATGGCTCAAAAATCTCTCCCAATTTTCTTCCAAATAATTAACCAAGACTAGCTTTCCCTCAATTAGTAAACTCGGTCTCCTCTGAAAGAAACACTGTGCACTTTTTTTTTTTTTTTTCTTTCATCTGAATACGTTTTTTTACCTCTCAAATCTTAATTCTTGATGTGACAGACACTGAAAGACTATTTTTTTATGTGAGCTTTGTAAATATGTTTACGTCATATTTTAAGTGTGATATTAAAATTTAAGAATAAAAAAAATCAGAATATATATATAATATTTTTCTATTTATAATGCTAATTAATCAATTATATTGGTATGTGTATGGCGATCATATCCAAGTCATTTTCTATCATTTCATCCATAACAAAAAGGAAACGTCGTGATTGACAACCATTTTCGTTATCTTCCCAAACTTCAAAATTTGGTTATCATTCATGATTTTAATTTTCTCTCCCTTACTCAATTTTGAAAAAGGTACATGACAACTTTCAAATGTTTTTATTTTAATACTTACTTCTAAAGATGTCATTTTTAATGGTAATAAATATATGATCTATTATAATTACAATTTGATTATATTATGAATAATAATACCTTTTTATACTCTACTTCTAATATGATGATTCATTATTGTTGTTAAGGGATTGTTTATTCTTTTATCTTCTTTCCCTTCCATTTAATTAGTGAATATAAGTGGTAGGAGTATTGTTCTCTAAAGTATATTCCTTGCGAATTACAATGTCAATTAATCAATGGATATCTTTAATACAAAGAATGAACATATTGATTAGAATAATTATACACTAAATAAAAGATGACAAATAAATTTTTTCATTTGGATAAGTAAAATTAACCAAAATCTTTGTCAAATTAATTAATTAAAATAATTCAAATTAATGAATTAAGAAGAATTTACATGGCATTAGAATTGGTTCGTAGAATATGTTAGAGATGACATTTTACTAAATTAGTCTATTTGGTCATTTGGTTTATTTTCACAAAAAAAAAAAAAATCATGAAATTATAGTTGGTCTTATGTAAAATCGTCTCACATGAGATAAATTTCAAACATTTAATACTTTTATTGTATGTTGGTTCATGGAATGAATTTTGAGCAAATATGATTCATATATCATCAGGAATAAACTTGACAAGGAATAAATCGAATAAGAATTTAATTCAGGAATAGCCTAATATCAGGATCCCACTGAAAATAGTTATTCCCTTTGCACCCCAGGAATACTATTCACGTGAATAGAATGACTTACCAAACGAATAGAACGAATAAAAATTTAATTCAGGAATAACATAATACCATGATCCCACTGGAAATAGTTATTCCCTTTGCAACCCAGGAATACTATTCACGTCACCTGAATAGAATGACTTACCAAACGACAAAATATGTATATTCCTCGAAATGGTATTCTATTCCCAACCTATTCCGTGAACCAAACATTCTGTTAAAAAAATGCAATGCATACCTTTTTTTATGAGTCTCTAAATAGTAAATATTACTACATTTTATCTTAAATTATTATTTTTTTTAAGGAAAAATAATCCTTTTCAATTGTGGAAATATAATACTTGTTGATCAATAAAAACAAATATGTATTATATATATTTTTACTAAAAAAATATATTATATATTTGAGATTTATCGTGCATATAAATTGGTCTCTCGTAAATTTTTATATTCCTCCTATTATAGGAATAGTCATTCTAAGAGAATCCTTAATAATAGCTATTTCTAAATGCATGACTTACGGCTCTGTCTTGAAAAAGGGGTTAACCGAGTTATTGTTGAGTGGGATTCTAAAGCTGTGGTCGACCTTATGCGGGGCGGTGAAGAAGGAGATAAAACCTACTACTCGCGTTTGGAAGACTGTCTCAACATGGGGGACAAGTTTGACAAAATCTCATTCTCTCACACGTTCAGGGAGGGAAATCAATGTGCCGATTTCTTGGCTAATTTGACGCAAACCAAAAACTGGGGTACTTGGGTATTCAGTGACGTTCCAGAAGACTTGGATTCTCTTCTTGATCATGATGCTGGTGGCGCACTTTTTTATAGAATTAGATAGTTTCGAGACTTAGCCACTCTTTCTTAAAATAATAATAATAATAATAATAATAATAATAATAATAATAATAATTACGTGATTGAATGTTACAACTTAGAAGTTAGGTTGGGAGTAAAATGGGAGAAGAAGGTTGGGAGTAAATTTATATGTCTTCTAAATTTATTATAGTATAATAATTGAGACTCAACAGTCAACAACCTATGTTTTGGAAATGATAACATTTTCAGTTTAAAACGTTATTATTATTCTTTGGAACATTTTAATCATTATTGTTGAAATTCATAGACGTTTTTAAGGCATCTTTAGAAACGTGTCATCTTCGGCACTTCAGCAGGGACCGTCCAATTTCCCAATTTCCAATTTCCAATGCTACATTAATTACTTTTCTGGTTTTTTTTTTTTTTAGAGGAAAATTATTACTTTTCTGTTTTAAGGAGAGAAATCTACGATCACAGTCAAAAGATTATCTACATCATCATCATCATCATTATTATTATTATTATCACCAAAATCGCCAAATTACCACAACACAACACAATCACATAATCACCACCATCATTACCACACTATCACTATCACCACTACCACCACTGCCACACCATCACAACCAACACCACTCCACACCACCACCACAAACACCAACACCAACAGTACCATGACCACATATTATTATTATTATTATTATTATTATTATTATTATTATTATTATTATTATTATTATTATTATATGTTCATTTTCAAGAAAATGAATCAAACAGAAAAAAATGCAATTTCTTAACTTTGAGCCAAATAGAAAATGATAGTTTTCTGACATTCAGTCAAACACTATAAAATTAAAATATTTTATGAAAATGAGTCATTTTATGAAAATCATTTTTTAGAAAGCATTTTCCAAGTTTCCAAAGGAATCCTAGTGTATAATAAAGATAACTAATTGCTGAATTAGAAAATATTAGAAGTGTATAATATTCTCACCACACTTTATGTACATATTGGTAAATCTACTAATATAATAAGAACTAAAGTTAAGCCTATAATACGAACTAAAAAGTATTTATTCAATTGTTTGTTGAATTGAATGGTTTATATTATTTTGATTTTAGTATTTATTTTATTTTATTTTATTTATTTATTGTCTAGATGAATCTCAATTTAGTTTATTGCAAAAATTTTTCAACATTGTTTTAAAACGTTGGAGGCTGGGAGGCAACAGAGCCCAATGAGGCCCAGAGTTCCTATGAAGCTCCAATAGGCTCATTACCCAACCCACAAAAGCAGTCCACGTAAGAATTAACCTATTAGAAGCCTAATGAAAAGCCAATTGTTATATCCTGCACTAGGGCGCACAATGTATTGTGCACTATAAAAATTACTTTTGTTTCGTATATACATAATTGTATAGTAGAATACAAATAAATTCTAACATAATACACATAATAATCTAACATATATAATACATAATACACATAAACTCTTAACATAATATAAATAAACACACAAAAATAAAACTCTAACGGGATTGGATGAACGGAATAATATTCGTCGTACAGTCGTGTCAACTTCCTACCAATTTATAGAAACAGTCGTTTTGGGTCAGAGTGCACAATGCATTGTGCGCCCTGGTGCACGATATAATTTGGCATGAAAAGCATCAATATTTTAATTGGCCTTATCATCACATATGGAACAGTAATAAAATGAAGCGTATGAAGGGGACATGTATTTTGTTTAAGGAAATTACTACTCTACTTCCAACTTTTACTTCTTTTCACACAATTTTGATGTTAACATTTTCATGAGACCCATAACATGAAGATAACTAATCACTAATTACCACATCAGTGAATAAAAGTGAGGAAATAAAAATATAGAGTACATGTAATAGAAGTCTTTGTTAAGTTTAATTTTCTACCTAGTGTATCAATTGGTCGCTAATTCCAATTTCAAATTCTTTTCCATACAACTCTTAAGTTTTGTTAAAACCTGATTAAGTCCGGTGGATTCTTCAAAATTTGTTTATATATCTCATTTTCGGTCATGTGGCTTGTTGGAGTCAGTAAGGGGTAACGGATTTCGTAGAATCTCTGTCTAGTTTTTACTCAATCATCTCCTACCACTCTCAATGACATTCTTGATTGGGCATTGCATGGTGGGGAGTGTCTTCCTTAAACCAATCGATAGCCGTTTGTGACTCTGTGAGTTACTCTAAATTTCCATTCTTAAAGACAAAACATATCATTCAATTAAATGTAAGAGTTAAATTCACGCAAAAGGTCACGATAAGCAATCAACTTGACTATGTTTTCTAATTGTTTAAAAGGTAATGCAAAAGCAAGCAAACTCACAGCTTGACATATATAGCCCAACACACTGATTCGATCTGCATTAAAAACATGTGGCCAAAATTTCTATCAACTTTCATGTCTACTACCAAAACACAACTTCACAAGTAAAAATTTGGAATTTTTTCCTCATATGATAATTGTCAAATTAAATATATCAATTTTATTATTATTACTAGTAATTCACCCGCGCGATGCACAGAAAAAAAATATTTATGTTATTATAAATATAAATAAAAAATAAAAAAAATAAAAATATTTTAAATTGTTTAATATAATAATATTTTTGAGCTTCCATTAGTCAAGTATTTATTATTTTTAAAGAATACAAAATTACAATTAAAATTTTGTATGGTTAATATAATCTCTAATTATGTACATATTCAAATAAACTTATAGAGATAATTTACATAATTACATTGATTTATTCTTAATTGTATTTCATCTATATTATAATTTTCACAATACGAATAATAACTAAGATAATTACATAATTTACATTTATAAAGCAAATTTCAAATTTTGTATGAGTAAATTTAAACTCTAATTGAACACATTTTTTTATATGATTATATAATATATTCTTTATGCACATGTCATTCCATAAACTCAAATGTCATTTTATAAGTCCAACACCACTTTTTGTGGAGATAATTCAAATGTATTTTTTTTTCTTTTAAAAGTCCTAAATTTAGAAATCCAGAAAAACATTAACGACTCATACAATATATACATTTATATATATTTAAATTTTTATTTATGGCTCAAATGATTTTTTTTTTAATTTTATTCTGAAGTCCAATAATTGACCCACGGCCCGCAGCATTTGCTTTCTTCATCCCTTCTCGCTTCTGTCATTTCTTTGAAGCATTTGAGAGGGAGAAAAATTATATGTAGATGCTTGTATTAATTGCACTGTTTCAGATATCGAATAGGCTTTCATCAAAAATTTAATTAATATTATAATCCCAAGAAGCACCATAAATAACAAAAGCATATCAAATAGACTTTCATTGTAAAGCCAGAGATTTAATTAATATTGCATTGCTTCATATTTTCTATTAATTGGGAATCGTAATCCTTAATCCTAATATCATAACATTTAATAACTCCATTAATTCAATAAATGTAATCCTTTGTTATGGGCTAGAAAAAAATAGCTATTTTATTTTTCAATTGTTGTTTTTTTTTTTTTTTTTTAGTAAAAGATGTTGTGGCTATTTTATATTTATAGCTAGTAATAATAATAATGTTGGTAATTAATTATAACATTAATTATTTTCAAAACCATATAGCTTTATTATTATTATTATTTTTTTTGTGTGCGCACATGCACATTAGGGTTTTGATTTGTCAACTCGAATCTATAAAATAGAACATTTTTTTTTAAAAAAAATAAGAAACTACATTAGTACGTGGTACAATTGCTAAACAAGAGGGTGTGCTACTAAGATATGAGTCGGATCAACCAAAACACACCCCAATATAATGCAAAGAACGGTGGAAGAATTCGTCATTATTATAATCTATACTAATTAATAAAGGAAAATGGTTAAATAATAGGCGTTTGAACTTTACCCAAGAAATCAATTAGACTCCTAATTCTTTTTAAGTTAGCAATTAAACTCATCAATATTATATTTTGGTGTAATGAAGCTCAAAAATCAATTATTGACATGTGATAGCAGATTACTAGAGTTTCGAAAACCTTAGCGTTATTTATGACGACAAAATGACCGACGACTGGCAAACTAGCGCCGGTCGCCATTATATTGAAGCCGAGAAGGAAGGCGACCTTGGTCTCTTCTCAATGGAGAAGGCGACCCAATAGTTGTCGCCTTCCTTCTCGGCTTCAATGGCGACCAGTGCCAGTCCGTGATCGTTTTGTCGGCGAAAATAGCGGAGTGTCGTCGGAACCCTAGTGATAGTCTTCAATTCTCCAGTGGAGAAGATAGCCATCTAATCCGGCGTCTTTTGAGTAGTTGATTTTATTTTTTTTTTTAATGGCAGCGACAACAGCAATCAACAGTGGTCAGTGGCGGTCAACGGCAATAATTTTATCGATAACCAATAGATTACCGATAAATAAGACTTATTTGATTCATTTTGACAAGTTCAAGTGTTTAATTGTATTTTGTTTAAAGTTCAAGAATTTAATTGCACTTTCGTATAAAATTCAAAGCCTAGCTATTTCATCATTTTCCCTAATAAGAATAATCATAATAAACTAATACTGAGATATATAGATATTGTAAAAATAATTTCCCCAAACATTAGTTTATTATTATGGGCACCTAGAGTTTCTTCCAGGACCCCCATAGTAAAAATAATTTCCCCAAACATTATTTCTCCCAGACCTAATATTGTAACAAGTTGGGTGGTCAGCCAAGAGGTGAAGATTAGATAAAGGGATCAAGTTATTGTCCCAATCAACAGTCTTCAAGTTCCTAAAATATGAAGCCTTTCTAAACCCTTCATCTGCAAAATGCCCACTCCCCATCTGTGTTGAAGTGTGGTATCCTCTTCCACCTTCATTTACTATCTCTCCTCCAAACTGCACCATGCTTGCATGGCTTCTCAGGTGGGTGAACAAGAAAGATGGCCAGTACCCCACCACAATACCCGGCCCGAATTCCAGCCACCAATGCCCATGTTTCGGATCCTACACAATACAAATATGAAATATGTATATATTGTCAAATGAATGTGTTTTGGAATTAAAATGATACTTTAGTATTAATATAATGAACTTATTGTGTGTGTGTAAAAAGAAACTAGATATCAGAGACATGAAGTGTAATTAAAATGATACTGCAGCAGCGTTACTATAATGAAACTAAAACAGAGTTCATATATACATGGTCCACACTGCTACTTCGACCATGGTTCACAGTAAAATTTGCCATATCTTCACTTATAATTCAGGGTAGTATAAGATCAGAGAGTCAAGTAACACGTGGCACTGCTGGAAATTGTGGAATTTTCAACCACCTGAAAGTGATCTTAAATCAAGTCGAAAGCAAAAAGCGGTTGGAAATAGCAACAATGATTTTTCCGGATACCAAAAGTGGTCGGAACAAGGCTTTCGACTTGATTTAAGATTACTTTCAGATGGTCGGAAATTCCATAATTTCCAGCAGCGTGGGCCCCCAATTCAAGGCCCTACACCCCAGCCCAACAAGATAGTGGAAGGATAAATTACGATGACACAGCGGTCCTTCATGTGTGCAGACCGATTACTTTATTATGGACTCCAAGTAACACGTGAGTCATCATAATCTGATATCAAACTGAAAAATGTGTTTTGTCTCAACTAAAGGTATATTATATTGAAGTTACCTTCCAGATCATAATGGCAATATCAAATTGCCTGCCATTATAAGATGATCTTGGAGATATTGCTGCCCCCATTGCAATCCTATTGTTTGTTTGAACAAAGCCTGAGCATAGCAAGTTGTAGCATCCTGTGGCTTGGTATGCATCACTCTGTACAACATATAATTATTATAGAAATTCATTTAATAATAATAATAATATATCGAATATAATCAAGAAATTAAAGTCAGTTAAAATAAAAGGAAAAAAGAATAATAATTAAGTTGTTTTATCCTGACTTACTGTCCAATATGTGAAGAACCTAGGATTGTTGTCTCCATACAATGCTGTACTGACCTGAACAAGAAAACATTATAAGAATTATTTCTAGTTTCTTAATCATCTATCAATTATCAATTTCATTTCTCAACGTTTTCAAATCAACCAAATTTAATCTAAGGGTCCGTTTGGAAAGCAAGAAAATGACTTATGGAAAATGTTTTCTGGAAAATAAGTCATTTTCTGGAAAACATTTTCCTTTCCAGTGTTTGGTTGCACTCTGGAAAACAGTTTTTGTGTGTTTGGTTCATTTTCTGGAAAATGAGTAAAATTGTATAATTAAACATTTTAATTATTTTATTTAGAATATTACAACATGTATAATAATATATAATAATATAATAATAATTTTAAATATAATAACAAATAACTAATAATATATCAAAAATATTATGGTGGTGGTGGTGATGTAGTGGTAGTGGTGTTATTTGTTATATAATAATAATAATAATAATAATAATAATAATAATAATAATAATAATAATAATAATAATAATAATAATAACTGGTGGTGGTATGGCAGTGGTGGTGATGGTGGTGGTGTGGTGGTGGTGATGGTGGTTGCGGTGGTATGGTGGTGGTAGTGGTGGTGGTGACGGTGACAGTGGTTGCGGTGGTATGATGGTGGTGGCGGTGGTTGCGGTGGTATGGTGGTGGTGGTGGCGGCGGTGGTATGGTCGTGGTGGTGGCGGCGGCGGTGGTGTGATGGTGGTGGTGGTGGTGGCGGTGGTGGTGGTGGTGGCGGCGGTGGTGGTGGCGGTGATGGTGGTGGTGGCGACGACGGTGATTGCGGTGGTATGGTCGTGGTGGTGGCGGCGGTGGTGTGATGGTGGTGGTGGTGGTGTGGTGGTGGTGTGGTGGCGGTGGTATGGTGGTGGTGGTGGTGGCAACGGTGGTGGTGGTGGTGGTGGTATGGTGTTGATGGAGTTGGTGGTGGTAGTGGTTGCGGTGATATGATGTTGGTGGTGGTGTGGTGGTGGTGGTGTGGTGGCGGTGGTTGCGGTGGTATAGTGGTGGTGGCGGCAGCAGTAGTGGTGGTGATGGTGGTAGTGAGGTGGTGGTGGTGTGATGTTGGTGTAAAAGTTGGAAAATGACTTCCCCCCAAAAAAAGGGGAAGTCATTTTCCTCCAAAACAAGCGTATTTTCCAAAGTCAACGGAAAATGATTTCCGTTGACTTGATTTTCCAGGCACATCCAAACAATGGAAACTTGGAAAATGATTTCCAGAACTCATTTTCCAGGTTTCCAAACACACCCTAAAATATTTGAAATATGAGGGTGGAGCTGAGTTTAGTGATAGTGAGAATAATTTAGACATTTTGAACTTGTTGAATAATAGGAAACCCTAGTTCCATTCTAACAAAAGTAGCTAGGTTTATTTCCCTATTCTCATTTACCCTAATTTTCCTAATTTTCTGCCATTTTCGGTGACTGCCTTTGCGAACTAACACCACCACGCTATCCAATATTTTATCACCATTTGACAAGGAAACCCACAAGGCTGAAATTCGAATCCATAATCTTGTTATTATGTACAGATTTATATATTTAGTCATTTAGTCATTTTGACTGGGTTACCCCATCAAACTCAATTTTAATTCACTATCAACTTATGTTGTTGTAGAAATGTATGTATATATATATATATATATATATATATATATATATATATATATATATATATATATATATAGTTTAGTTCCTGTACACGTGCAGCCATTCACCATTAGCTATGTAAAAATGTACTACAACGTGTTTAGAAATGCATAAGGGTATGATGCTTTTTGTGGTGCATTTGTGCATTTCTGAACACGTTGTGTATTTATGCATATCTAATGATACATGATCACACGTCCAAAGGTTGTGGTGCATTTTTGCATTTCACCCCGGTTTTACTCTGGTGCATTTCTAAACATTTTGTGGTGCATTTAGCATACCTAAGAGTGCAATCCGCATGCCAGTACGAGAATCGGGCGCCACATTTGAACCAATATATATATATATATATATATATATATATATATATATATAGACCCACACGAGGTAAAAAAGACAAGAAATGAAGATATAATTAAAGTAGGGTAAAAAAAAAAACCTGCCAACCAGCTTCAATGGTGTTAAGATCGTAGTCAAAAGAACCGGAAATGACCCAAAGTTGTGAGAGGCTGAATTCATACTGCTCCATTACTCGAGGCGTCCACACATTTATGCTCGCTTTCGCTCCATAGTATTCATCTCCATTTACAAATGCAACAGCATGCTGTCATTTAAAAAAAAAAAAACCGAATTCAATAAAGGAAAAAAAAAATGCACATTCATAAATACTTTCTCAACCTATTAAAGCACAAAGAGTCAGTACCCCTACATTAGGGTTTGAATCTGAGACTTCTAATTTGAGGGGCTACACTCGACCACAAAGCTTTTTGGCATGTGACCATTCATTGTTTCACTTGTATCTTTAAAAATTATCCTATACTACTAATTGCTCTTCAAAATGTCATTTGGATGAAGTATTATTATAAAAATCAGAATAGTTTATCATTCTAATTGTAAAATTTTACATAAAGAGGTGAAAACAATATAATGTAAATAAAATGATATGGCTCTGGTAACATAGTTAGTTTCATCATCCAATTTTGACTTGTTTAACTTGATTAAACAGTAAATATGAGCGGCTAATTAATTAGCTTTTATTAACAAGTTATTGTTTTAAAACCCTAAAATTCAAAAAGCTACTCAAAGTAACTTTTTTTATCAGTTTTTTGAGAAAATCATTTTACATGTAATCAATTATCAGCTAACAATTAATATACAAAACATTTGTCTACAATCAGCTAATGCTGTCAACTAATCAAACCTACTAACTCAATCATGTAACAACTATCAGCTAACCGCCATTATCAGACACCCCTAATTTCACATTTTCACCGACATAATTTGAATGTCATTGTTGTCCAGCCAAGTCTTTTAAGCCATCTGATGTGCAGCTTTTAATGCAATATAATGATGGGTTGTGGTCCTTTTAGAAGAAAGCTAATAACTACTATACGGGGCCATGGCATGTGTTGTGAAACAGATGAGAGAGAGAGGAGTGTTGGAATGGGGAACACTCAAACCATGCTTTGCTTGACTTTGAGAAACACATGACTTAAATAGAAAGAAATAAAAGTCGCTTTCTAGGATTTACATAAATTATTCAATAAAGACATTTCACTATCTATCTCGTCTGGTAAGAATAATTGTGTTTCACATATGAGGAGAGACAGTGATAATAGAGAAAATATATATTTTTTTTTCTGATTATGATACTTTCATTTACAAAAACATCAGCAATCACTACTTAAAAATACGTTATGAGTTAAATATGACTTATAATCCTACTCAGCAAAAGACCACTAAGAATATCCGTATAGGGATTTTAGTTTAGTTTTTAAGGAGGTTTGATCCAAGGTAGAAAATAGGGTGTGTTAGAGAGAGAAGATTTAGATTGTTGCAGAGGTATTGATTTTTCACTCTTTTGTAATCTGAAGTGGGCTCCACAAATTGAAAAATAAAAAATAAAAAATTGTAGCTGGTACGCGTTAAGCGCACTAGGAGCGCCCAGTGGGTGCATGTACTACACGCACTCCCTGGGCGTGAGGTAGCGACCATCCTCATTAATTGCTTTTTCTATTTTCTGTTTTCCTTTTTTTTTCTTCCTACTTGGATTCTAAAAAATTGTGCAAAATCTTGGACTATTGAGGATGCTCTAAGAGGTAAACTAGCCTACATTACATATATCTAACTAGTTCAAACTATAAAGGCCAATAAACAGTTCGTATGAAAAATTAGACTTGAAATCTTGTGATTACTAAGTTAATTATCCGACCAACTTTGAATTATCAAAAATACAATACGTGCAACTTTGCAAGCCTGTCGAGTTTCACTAAAGTTATCTAATTACTTCTTCAAAGGCTATATATTTTGAATAAATTGGTAGTTCATCCATCAGCTCAAACCAAGCAAAATTGTAACATTTGTGGGGAAAAAAGATAAATGTTCAAATCTCACAATGTAAGAATTATGTTCAAAATAAACAGATCACTTCTGCCCATAGGTATTTAGCCCTTGGTGTTGACAGCTCAACATTTGTGAGAAGAAAAGTTATAACTTTTGACTGAGAATTAAAAGAGCTGACAAACAGATTTTGCATTCAATAGCAGCAGTAAATGCACCTGACTATAGCTTTATAATTTATTTATTTTTTCAATTAGAAGAGCGAAATAACGGAAGATTTTTCTAAACAAAATTATAAATATATTATCTAGAATAAAAATATTTCTTGACTTATTGTATTATTATAATTTATAACTGATTAATTGTCAAATTAAATAATCTTTATATAGCTAAAAAGTATGTTTACTAAAAAATTTCTTTACCGTTTAAAGTCTAAATTTTACATCATCAGCTTACGAGGATGATTATTCTAAACGAATATTTTGTCTATCTATCTAACAAATACTAAAACACTATACAATTTCTCTCATTTTACTTATTACTTATCATTAAAAACAAACTTTTTCCCCACTTATTATCTTTAACATTTTATTATAATTTTAAATGAAATGTCATGTTGTTCTAAGTAACTTGTAACTCAATAACGTCTCTATGTCTCTCCCAAATGAAAGGTCATAAATTCAAATTTTAGGGAGGATTTAACTTTTTATCAAATCTTTTTCAATAAATTCAGTCAAACTGAACCGGACACATAAAATGAGACGAAGAAATTGACGATAGAACTAACCTCATGATCGGTGCTCATGGTGTTCCGGCGAACGATCTTCCTTCCAAATCTACGAACGGAGCTAGCTCTCACTACATCCTCCTCCCTTGTTCTTCTGATCGGAACCGTTCCTTCCGGGCACCATTCCCCAGATTCTGACCATATCTGAAACCTCTTCTCTGCTTCATCACCTAAATTGTGTCCTTTTGGTCTCTCTGGAGCTTCCTACCCCACACGCAAACAAAAACCATTGTACAAATACTTTAATTTACAACCATATTCTAAATGAACATCTAAGGAAGACTTAATTCCAGAAATATAATGTGGATTTCTGATTTTGTTTCAGATTTGGTCATTCCTTAAATATTTAAAGGTTTTGAAACAAAGTAGATATATAATAGCTTCAAATTTGAGACAGAGACTTATTAGTAATGTGGTCCAATTTGACTTATAAATCAACCTGATTTTCACATTCACACTAATGATAAACTTAGTATATAAAGTTCATGAATTCGATCAATCTGTCCAACTCAGTAACAAATTAATTTTTATATTTATACCCGACCTTAAATTTAAGGCTTATTAAACAAACATTTAATTTAAAAATATGACCAAATGTGATCATTTATAATCAAATTGAAAGTCAAAAGAAAAGTGGTAGAAGAATTGAAGTACCAATGGGTTGTTTCCTTTGAGTTGAGGATGATCGAAAGCGGGTTGAAGATGAGATTCTACACAGTCTATTAGATCTCCATCTGGACTCTGAAACATACAATCAGTGTATAAGAATGGGTTAGCCTTCAAACTTCAAACCCATTATTATATTAATCTCTAAACAGGAGAGAGAGGGAGAGAGATATATATGCCTGAATTGTCTTGATCGCAGGCTTGTTGATCGTCTTGAGATATGCCCTTATCCTCCTTAGTTTGAGAAGCTCTTGGCGTGGGCGGAATGTGCGGTTTGAAAGTAGGTAATTATCACCGGAGGCGGCGGCCGGAGACAGTGAAGAAGTAGCTGCGGCGAGAATGGAGAAAACAACAAACGTAGACGACATAATAACTACAGATGAAAATGTCTGGTTGGGTTTGAAAGAAGCCATATATATATATGTATATGTTAGTTTGTGGAGTGTTTGATGACAACAGCGACAGCCATGGCTTCATTCCACATGGAAAAACACCCGCTGCGCTAGCTGCGCTGCTTCTACAGCGATGGCTGCCTCGCCATTTTTAAGAGAATCAAGAGAGAGAGAAGTTTGATGAATAAAGAGATGAGAAGAAAGGGTGATGTTGAAGGTTGTGTGTGATGAAAGTGCGGCTGCTTGGGTGTTGGTTTGGTGTTTCTGACACACAGCTTTCAGCTGGCTGTGCTGCTTATATTTTAAAGTTGGGTGTTTATACTCCAACAATGGTGTGGTCCGAAACCTCCTTTAATTTCAGTCCTTTCACATATTCAAAAAGTTATTTTTACAACTTAATCACAAAGGGGTGTCTCATCTTGGACTCTCATTCCAATCAAGATAGGCATAATTATTAAATAGATATTATAAATATGTTAGAGTTTACTCAAAAAATTATTTATTTTAATTAAATTTAGACTTTGTTTAGTAACATAGTTAATTTATCCGATCACTATTAACTATTTGACTTGATTAAATAACCAATATAAGTGCCTGATTAATTAGAATTTTTTTAACAGTTTATTGCTCCAAAATGCTAAAATTCAAAAAGTTACTCAAAGTTGTTTTTTCAATAAGCTTTTTGAGAAAGTCATTTTGCATATAATAAGCTATCAGCCAACAAATTTACCAAACGTCTTTCTACAATTAGCTAATGCTATCAACTAGTTAAACCTGCTAACTCAATCAGCTAACAGCTATTTACCAAACACTCTCTTAGTCTTTTCAATTTTAAATTAATCAAATTTCTTTTAAAATATCTTTACACTTACTTGTAAAGAGTGAAAATTTGATGAAACAAGATTTACCCAATACACACCATCAGATAGTGGTTATAAGTTTTTCTCATCACTCAAAAAAAAAATTGATGAAATATTTTAGAAATGTCAAGTTTTTTTTTTTTTTTTAAACTAATTTTTATTGACTCAAAATATCATAAACTGAAGTTGGTCAAATTCGGTTGGATTGAACTTCCCTCCTATGTGGTAAATAGCTCATGTTTGGACAAAGCCAATTTTATCCACTATATTTTTAGACATGATTATTATTATTATTTATATAATAATAATAATAATAATAATAATAATAATAATAGTTGGGGATATAAGGAGTTGGGGAAGTAGAAGAGTTAAGCATGTGAAGAGTTGAAGAAATTTATTCCCATTTAATTTTTTATTATTTTCATGATCAAGTATTGAGGTTATAAAAGGAGCTTCTTCATTCTTCTCAAAGCATTCACATATACATATGAGAGATTGATTCGGCAGTGAGGTTAAGAGAAGGGAAAAACTATTCTTCCTTCATTCTTTTCATTTGGCAGTGCGAGGAACTTGCTGTGAGTTTGCCGAACTTGTTGGGTACAATCTTCATCAAATGTTTTGAAGGTCAGCTTGTATTTATTCCAGGCATCTTTTGGGTAATCTCATACTACTTATATTCATTTTATCTTGTTTGTGGTAGTTGAATATTTTGAGTACGTACGAGATATTATTCCTATTTAGCCTGTGAATTTAAAGGATGTATTTGGCCTAGAATTGGTGTATTTGATGATTTGTGGATGTATGGCTCGTGTGGTAGCATGAACTTGTGTACCCGAGATTTGTTATAGTGGAATTGTTGGTGGTGGTGGTCCCGTGGTTTTTCCCCGTGGTTTTGGGGTTTCCACGTAAATCTTGTGTTCATTGCTTTGTTATTTATTTTTGGATATTATGTATCATCTTGTGTTTGTGCTCCTGTCGGTTCTGTGATTTTTCATTGTCACAGAAAGTGGGATTTTTGATTATCAATAATTATTGATTCATTGATTTAAATTAATAAAATAATACTCAATCCATACACCAAGACTATAATTTTTTAATCTATTATGCAATAATATATTTCCACATTTTTTTATTTTTTTAAAACATTAACTTTTTACTTTTTAAGTTTTTTTAGGTGAGTCTCAATATATTTCTTTTTAGAGGATAGCAAATTTAGAAAATAAAAAATATCACATCTTATTTATTTGTTTAAAAATTGTGTTAAATAAAATTATTCCTTATAAAATAAAATGGTGCGAGTAAATCAATAGAACAGTAAAAGAAGGATAAATGAATGAATAAAATGAAAATATAAATTTACAGAATACCTGTTTTCGCGCGATCAGGTGATTAGGATTTGGAAGTTTTAGCAGAACTAGTGAACTACTTTTTGTGTACGAGTGATTAGTGAGCTGCAGAACTACTGAATATTCAGAAATACTTTGACAATTTCGTCATTTTTAAATAATACTCTCTTTTTTCTTTTCTTTTTTTTTTTTTGAAAACAAATAATACTCTTTCCTTCTGTCATGTCTGATTCAGTTAACAAAGTTTCGATAACGTTATTCACAATTCAATGTTCTTTCACAGTATAGTACTTTACTGTATTTTCAAAATTTTCTTTTAGTTAGAAGTTGAAAATAGAGATTTAAATTGATTGAATGATGTATAAATTTATTAGTGTAAATGCGCTAGTTTATTAAGTTTAAAATGTTAATTTGAAAATGTTAAAAATTTTTAGTTTAGCCACATGATAAGCTTGACAGGTCGATGTTTTAGGATTAGGGTAAAAAAATTTGAACTAAAAAAGAAAATCTATTAGTCCAAACCAAAAACCCAACAGCCCTATAGGTCTAGCTGGAAATTGAATGGATTGGCCCGATTGACATTCCAAGGTTTTACGGGCTAGTGTAGTAATTTAAGTAATACTATTGTTTAGTTTTAAACTTTTAATTGATCATAACAATTAGTTTTAATAAAATAAAATATGTATAATTATAATATATTAGGAATTATTATAATTTGTTGTAAAAAATTCAGTTAATGCTGACTTTAGTTTTTAATGATGTGACACGTTTTAATTTACTGTCGTGGTATAAAACTTATACATTGATCATGCAACAAATATTTTCTCTTGATTTATTTCATTTTTTACTTGGTACTTGTAATTTTAAATGTCAATAATACTCTTTGAGAAAATTTTATTAAATTTTACCTTATTATATTCCAGACTTCCAGTGCAATTTAGAAGTTTTGAATTAAGGGTCAGTTTGAAATAGATATTTGGAAAAATTGTAAAAAATGTTCCTTTATAATATGTCAATTATCAATGTTACCTCTGAATTATAAGTGGTATACATGTTACCTCTCAATTATCAAAACGGTGCACATATAGCCCCTCTTGTAACGGACATGTGGACAGTGGTGTAAAGCAAATAAAAAGTTTTAAGTTTGTAAGTCTTTAGCTTGATAATATCTATTGTCATTTTATAAAGAGTTAATTCATTTTAGGTAGGTGCTTGTGGCTTTGAAGATTCTTTCCCCAGTTGAATTTTCAATCCCAAGGCTTCCACACTTTGGTTCGACAGAGCATTTGGGAGGATATAAATCACGGTGATTTAATTGCTCAACAGACATGGTCAAATGTTGGTGCGCACAATGGATCTGTCCACTTTGAACATAATCTCACACTATTGCTGAGGTTCAAACCTTGGTCTATTATCTCAAATATTGCATATTGAATGATTGAGACTAGACACTTGAGTATTAATTAAAAAAATCATTTTTTGTGTTGAAGTGAAACGTACAAGTTTGGGTGGGTTGGAGATGTGAAATCGATGCAGTTTAGTTGATCAGCCTCGCCGTTTAATGGTTGCGGTAGACTAGCTTTGCTTTAGTATTTGGTGGTCACATAAGACTGACACATTCTATCTTCATTCGTACTGAATTGTTAGTTCAACTTAACTGTCTACACTGTCTGTCCTGATATAATTTTATACAACTAATTTGTATCAGAGATAATTACGGAGTAATTCATAACAAAAATGATTTACTGTAATAATTACTTTAATAATATTCACAACAATTACTATTGTTATAAAGGCTGCGCTAGTATCATGTGAAACTGTCTCACGAATCTCAATTCGCGAGACGAATTGGTTATAATAAAATGTGTCATAACATAGTTGTAGATATAATTAATTTTTAAGTCTTATATATAATACTTTATATCATAAATGTGATACTTTATAACAAAAAGAGTAAATACCCAAAATGGTTCCTCGACTATAGCTAAATTTACAAATTGGTCATCGACTTTCAATTTCAACCAATTAAGTCCTTAACTTTGCAATTTTGACACGATTTGGTCCTCCGTCTATTTGACCGTTTGTTGACCGTGATCGACGATCTCCAGAAGAACCTTCAGCTCTCGTCAGAGCATGTGGAGGCCTCCAGGGTAACGTTGCACCGGTTCGGAAACACTTCGTCTTCTTCGCTCTGGTTTGAACTCAACTACATTGAATCCAAAGGGAGGATGAAGAAAGGCGACCGGATTTGGTAGATTGCTTTCGGAAGTGGATTCAAATGTAACAGTGCGGTCTGGAAATGCAACCGGAATCTTAAAAAATCGACGATGGACCATGAAATTACATATATATCCTCAAAAATCACAGTCAACAAACGGTCAAATAGACAGAGGACCAAATTGTGTTAAAATTACAAAGTTAAGGACTTAATTGGTTGAAATTGAAAATCGATGACCAATTTGTGAATTTAGCTATAGTCGAGGAACCATTTTGGGTATTTACTCTAACAAAAATGTAATAAATAATTTATAGGAAATAAAGTAATAACATAACTGAATTGCAGATATATGATCAATACTTTAAGCCTTATTTATAGTACTTTATATCATAAATGTAGTATTTTATAAAAAATTGTAATACATAATTTGCAAGAAATAAAGTAATAGCATAACATAATTGCAGATATAATCAATACTTTAAGTCTTATATGTAATAATTTCTAACATAAAGAGCAAATTCCAATTTTGGTCCCACAACTATTAGCAAAATGACATTTTTGGTCCACATGTTTAATTCCTACCAATTTTCATCCACAACTATTGTTTTAGTACCAATTTTCATCCATGACTATTGTTTTAGTGCCAAAATTCATTACGATGTCAGCCCTTCGTTTAAGACATGGTGAAATATGAAATTATTAAGGGTATTTTCGTCCTTTTCAAATTGAGATCCCAATTTGAACATAAATAAAAGAATTTAAGCTCTAAGATCGATCTCAATTTGCAGTTCTCCTCCTTAAATTAAGGTAGAATGAGGAGGAGAACTG